TCCGCGGGCGCCCTGAGCAGAGGTGGGGAGGGAGAGCAGAGACCAGGGAAGGAGAGACAGGGAGAGACACGGAGGCAGAGAGACAAGGGCGGGAGAGGGGAGAAAGGTGAGGGAGGGAATCAGAGGAGAGTCAGACAGAACAGGGACAGGGGGAGGTGGAGACAGAGACCCACAGGCTGGACAAGACAGATATAATTTTCTTATCTTTTGGGATTAAAAGGATAGATGGATGGATATCTAGATAGATGAGAGAGAGAGAAAGAGAGAGAAAGAGAGAGAGAGAGAGAGAGAGAGAGAGAAGTATTTGAGACAAAGACAGAGAAAGGCCAGGAGAGACAGAAGAGTTGGGGAGAGAGACAGGGAGGGAGGATGGATTGGAGAGAAGACGCAGTCAGCGTTCCATGGTTACCCCCTGATCTCTCCACACACACAGCCAGATCCCTCTTCAGCTTTCAGAGCACCTGCCTCCCTGAGCATCTGGTGTGTCCCCTGCCTCCCTGAACATCTGGTGGGTCCCCTGCCTCCCTGAACATCTGGTGGGTCCCCTGACTCCCTGAGCATCTGGTGGGTCCCCTGCCTCCCTGAACATCTGGTGTGTCCCCTGCCTCCCTGAACATCTGGTGGGTCCCCTGCCTCCCTGAACATCTGGTGGGTCCCCTGCCTCCCTGAACATCTGGTGGGTCCCCTGCCTCCCTGAACATCTGGTGGGTCCCCTGCCTCCCTGAACATCTGGTGGGTCCCCTGCCTCCCTGAACATCTGGTGGGTCCCCTGCCTCCCTGAACATCTGGTGGGTCCCCTGCCTCCCTGAACATCTGGTGGGTCCCCTGCCTCCCTGAACATCTGGTGGGTCCCCTGCCTCCCTGAACATCTGGTGGGTCCCCTGCCTCCCTGAACATCTGGTGGGTCCCCTGCCTCCCTGAGCATCTGGAGGGTCCCCTGACTCCCTGAACATCTGGTGGGTCCCCTGCCTCCCTGAACATCTGATGGGTCCCCTGCCTCCCCTGAACATCTGGGTGCCCCACCTTGTTCTGAACACTGGGAGAACCAGTGGGTACACTCCAACCCTCATCCCTGGGGAACTTACCGGGGGACCCGGGGGGCCTGGAGGGCCAGTGTCTCCACGGGGGCCGAGAGATCCCTGTAGGGAGAAGCCACTTGGGAGTAAACTCTGTCTATGGAGACTCCTTCCTGCCAACACATGCGTGTATGTGCACATACACACACACACAGAGACACACAGACACACACACAGACACAGACACACACACACAGCCCTGGGGCAGGGACATGCAACTTCCAGCACCAAGAATAAGGCACGCATTTTCCTTCCATGTTTTAACGACTCTGAAATCAGCATCTTAACCTCTCTGGCAGGTCACAGTTCTCTGGCAGAATTGTTTTCGTCTATAGCCGTTTATAAAATAAGGGTGTATCTTACAGCTGATGGCAGCTTAGATTTGATGAAGTGCCATGGTGGGTGTTGAATGTGTGACTGAATGACTAGACGAATGAATGGATGCAAAGGAATTGAGGGTTCCGGTGCGCTGGAGGGGTGGGGAACTGAAATAGGGGAGCCCCGGGAGAGGGAGTACTTACCGGCCCCCCCTTTGAGCCCTTCTGTCCCAGAGGGCCCTGTGGGGGAGAGACAGAGAGATGGAGTCCTGGCGGCTCACTGTGGTGACCCCACCTCACCGACCCTTCATACTCACTGCCACTCCTGGGGGCCCAGGGGGGCCCAGAGAGCCACTGGGGCCCGGGAGACCCTGGAGAAAGGACAACAGGGTCATCACTGACAGGGTTCATCTCCGTGACCCAGAACAGCCTCCAGTTCCCTCAAGACACAGCCTCCATCCAGCCTCCAAGCTCCCAGATAGGCCCCCATTTTCCTCAGACACAACCCCTAGCATTCCAGACCCAGGCTTCCCTCACCCCCACAGCCTACAGACAAGCCCACCTCGTCCCCCCAACCGTCCCCTCCTTCGAACACATTCTTCCCACTTGGGGCAGGACATATACTCACCGGTTCTCCCTTGGGGCCAGGAGGGCCCTGCACGCCTGGCAGCCCCTGATCCCCTTTCTCACCAGCCTCCCCAGGGGCGCCAATGAGGCCAATCAATCCGATGTGGCCCTGGAGGACACAGAAGGCGTGTGGGAAGGGAGAAAAGGGGGTGCGGGGAGGTTTTCTCCTAGAGCCTTGGGGCAATGCATTTGGGGAACAGAGGAGACCCCATGAGAATGGAGGTAAATGAGGGAGGGGATAATGGAAGGAGGTATTCTTACCTTTTCCCCCTTGAGGCCAGCATCTCCCTTCAGCCCTGGGAGGCCAGAGGGCCCCTGGAAGGAGAAGGAGAATCAGTTGCTGAGACTCAAACATAAAATCTTAAGATCCATGCGGATGATGGCGGGTGGTCAAATGGGAAAATTCCCAGACTTCACAGGGAATTACCAGGGATGTGCTCATGGGGCTGGTCAGAAGGGAGGAGGGGTGACAAGGGGTAATGAAGGGTTTGGCTGGAGGATGGCCAATATGGGTGCTCAGTGGTGGAGATCCTGACCCCGTGGTGGCCAGTGTAGACTATCAAGACTGATGGTCATGCTGGCCTGTAGAGATGGAGGGGCACTGTGGTCAGTGTAGACCATCAAGGTACGTGGTCAGGACAGATCGTATGCATGGTCAGGGGAGACCTGCAGATAGTCAGTGAGGGGTCATCAGCACCAACAGTCATTCGATGGTCACTGAGCAGTTCTTGTGCCAGAGCCTCAGGGACACAGAAGTCTCTTACCAGGGGACCAGGAGGGCCTGTCTGTCCAGGAGGTCCCAGGAGGCCTGGTTCACCCTGGGATGAAACAGAACATGGGGAACTGCTCCCTGCCAGAACCCGGTGTGGACGCCCTCCCCTACCCAGGGCCAGCCCCTCCCGACTATGATGAGAAATTAAAAGTGTGCGCACACAGGGGGGCCTGGTCCCACCCCACCCCCACCCCTGTTCCCGCCCCACTCACCACAGGGCCAGGGATCCCGCGAAGACCCTCAGGCCCAGCATGTCCAGGGGGCCCTCGAGCCCCCACGGGGCCGGTCCTCCCTATGGGCCCATCAGGACCTGGCTCCCCCTAAAATGGATGGGGCAAGAGACGGGGCAGAGAGAGTCAGGGTGCACCTGCCTCCTGACCGCTAACCAAGAATCTTCAGGGAGGGGGAGGGAACTGGGGCACCTGTGGCGGTCACCGGGCCCCTCCCCATTCTGATGGCCCAACTGCTGGCTGAGAGGTCAGGGCAGGGGGCACTCACCTTGGCCCCTTTCTCCCCTTCTCTGCCTTCTGGACCCAGGCGGCCAGGAGGACCCTGAGAAGGGAGAGACCATTAGAGGGGGCCCTTTAGGGATGAGTGGGAGGTTATGTGAGTGAGTGGGGGCCTGTGGGGGTGAGTGGGGGGCTGAGGAGGTGAATGGGATAAGGTTGGAGCCAGGGCAGCCAGGAGCCAGGTCATCACTCACCCTCTTTCCAGGGGACCCTGGGGGGCCGGGCTCCCCAGAAGCGCCAGGCGGACCCTGTGGAGGTTATAACACCAGGATAGAACTCGCTAGCATTGGTTGAGGATGACTACGTTTAAGGATGCCTTTGACCCAACAACAGCCTTACCCAAACATCACCCAGCACCAGCCATCTCCTGCTTCCTCCCTCAAGCTTCTCACATTCATGGTGAGGCCCCAGAGAGGCAAAGCAGGCACACCTACGGGGCCTGGGTACCGCAGTAACCCACTCCTCTACGCCTACTCGCCAGCCCAGCCCCTTCTCCCAGCATCACATCCTGTTCCCTCACTCACCGGTCCTCCAACATCACCAGGGTCTCCCTTCTCCCCTGGGGGACCATCTAGACCCTGTGGTGGGAGGGAGGGAACAGAGTTGGGAGGGCTCATGGGGCACATGAGAATTTGGGGTGAGGCTTGGAGGATAATGAAGGTTATTTGTTCCAGTGACCTTGTCTAGGTCCAGGGGGTGGGGAGACGAGGACACCAGGTCTGTGGGTGTGATGGGGGCTTATGGGAGTTAGTTGGGGTGAGTGGGAACCTGTGGGGATGAGTGGGGGTGAGAATTAGGGAATTTGATGGGGACAGGAAGGCTCACACCCACCGAAACTCCAGGGTCTCCAGGGGGTCCTAGATCTCCTGGGAGCCCTCTGGGGCCCTGGAACACAGAATGATGAGTAATCACATCTCAGAATTATTGCACATTCATTCATTCATCCATTCATTTAACAGATAAATGGTGCCAGGCACAGTTCTGGTTGCTGGGGATACATGGTGAACAAAACACAACATTTCCACCCCAGTAGAGAGAACATTCCAGTGGTTAATGGGGGCAGGTGCTGAGCTAAGATGACATGCATCATCTCACTTCATCCTCCCAGCAGCCTCCCAGCTCAGGACGCACAGGTGGAACTGACCCAGAGGGACACAGCAGGTGGTGGGGTGGAGAGATCCAAATGGAGGTCCCCCTGACTCTGAAGCTCCTCACTGCCCTCCACCCAAGCCGAGCCCGCCCCCCTCCCCCCACGCTGTGGCAGGAGGGTCTCAACCTCTCCCTGACGGCAAATCCCACATCAGCGCCAAGCTCGGCCTTGCCATTCCCAGCATGGTTAGAATGATTCCATGCGGAAGCAAGTGTCACCCCCACAATGACATATAACCACTGTATTTTCATGCTGACTCATTCATTCAGTCAACCATTGAACCATTCATTCAGCCATGTTCTGGTTGCTCATAGAACCTGCACGCTGGAGGACAGGACGCCTGGCTGGAGGTTGAGGAGCCGGTTGGAGTAAACACGAGTGCCCCTCCCCCAGCTCCTCCTTCTCCTCCCCCAGGACTCACCACATTCCCTTTGGCTCCATCTTCTCCAGGGGGGCCCTTCTTGCCTGGGGGTCCTGCCGCCCCAGATGGGCCTGTGTCCCCCTTTTCACCAACTTCTCCCTTGGGCCCCTTTGCAGAAACAGAAGTCAGGAGAGCCTGGACTCTCCAGGGGTCAAGGTTCGTATGCCGGGATTTAGGAATCTGGGTGGTCTGGGATTTTCCTGGGGTCAGGGGTCAGAGTAGCCTGGACTTCGCAAGGGTGGGAAGTCAAGGGGATCTAGGACTTACAGGAGTCAGGGGTCAGGATAGTCCAGTTGCCTAGAGGCAATGGCCTAGCCCATGTGCCACCCTTCAGTGAATTAGAAAAGGGGTCCCCTGTGGGAAGCTCATCCCGAAGCCAGAGCTTATGTCAAACCCGGGCCCCCACCTACCCCTCGGCCCCACACCCTTGTGCAGTGTACAGCCTGTATGCAGCACTGCACTTCCCAAGGCTCTATCATCAAGGTAACACAGGTGCCCACATGTTCTGGGTCAGTGGGTGACTTAGGACTCCCCAAAGGTCAAGGTGGCCTGAGATACCCAGCAACCAGGGCTTCCCTGGGATGGGTGCAGGGGCTCAGAAAATAGTCACTCACTGGGATGCCTGGGCCTCCTGGCAGCCCTGGGTCTCCAGCTTCCCCTGGCTCACCCTACGGGAGGCAAAGTGAGGGTTCAATGTTGGAAGACAGGGAAAGGCTCCCGGGACAGCGCCCCCAGTCAGAACTGGCTGTGCCTCCCCAACCCTGTGTAGTCCACTGTCCTCTCTCTCTCACCTTCTCCCCCACAGCACCGGGCTGACCGACTCCTCCACGCAGCCCTGGAGAGCCCTGAAGGGACAACAAGGGTTAGAAGTGAGCCTGGGACCCCAACCTCCGCTTCTTGGGAAACGGATGTCCCCCCCCCCTCCGATGCCCTTCCCCCAGCCCCAGAGTCCTCACCTCTGATCCACTAGGGCCATGGGGACCCCGAGGACCTGGAGCTCCATGGGGACCCTGTGGGACAGTCAGAATAGCATCAAGTGACCCCATGACTCCCCCCAAAGGCTCTAGTAACCACAAGCACCACCCTTGATGCTTGTGACACCCATGACCCTTAAAGTGACAATGTGTCTTGTGATAACCCCAATATCAATCTAATGGTCACCCTCACCCTGCCACTACCCTCCCGCTTCCACCCTCCCCCCCCATTATCCATACCATGGACCCCACGTCTCCAACCTCCCCCTTTTCTCCAGGAGGGCCTGGCAGTCCCTGTGGAACAAAGAAGCAAGATTGGGGCATAGGGTGTGGGGAACCAGAGGCCATACCCCCAAACTCAGACACCCACCTGCAGGCCAGGGGGGCCAATCACCCCCACAAAGCCTCTCACTCCATCATCTCCTTTCTGCCCAAAGAGGCCTGGGGGTCCCCGGCGTCCCTGAGCCCCGTCTGCTCCCTGAGAGAAGAAGAGGGCCGGCAAAATTGGGGTCCAGGTCAAGGGTTGGAAATAGGCTCAGGGTCAAAGTCAGGACTGAGGTTGATGGTTGGAATCAGGGTTGGGATTAACTGTGGGGAGAGTCAAGGTCAGGTCTGGAGTTAGGGGTGTGGGTTCAGAGTTTGGGAATGAGTTCAAGGGTTGCGTCAAAGTTTTGAGATGGACATTGGGTGATGAGTCAGGTTCAGATGAAGGTCAAGATCATGAGCAGGGTTCAAATGGGGTTGAGATGGAATTTAGGGTTGGGTTTGGAGTTGAGGCCAAGACCAGATTCAAAGTTTGAACTCAGGTTTGAGGTCAGCATTGCAGGGCGGGTCGGGGTTGGGGTTTGGGTAGGACTGGGTCAGGGTTGGGCTAATGAGGCATTTATTTGAAGATAAGGTTTGAGTTGGGATTGAGGGTAAGGTCTCAAGCAGGGTTGAGATTGGGGCTGAGGTTCTGGATTGAGTCAGGTTCTGGGGTGAGTTCATACTGGTTGCCAGCATGGAGGAGTAGATTAGGGTTGGAATTGAGTCTGGGCCCGAGTCCAGGTGTAGGACACTGTCCCTTCCCATCGGGGATCTAGGGGGTTGTCGCAAAGCCAGGAGCACCTACCGGGGAGCCTGGGTGTCCCACAGGACCCCGTATCCCTGTTGGTCCAGGTGGGCCCTGGAGGAGGAAACAGAGTTGAAAATCCCTTAAGTTCAAGATTGGGGGTTGGCACTACAGATGTCAATCATTGTCCCCTGCCCACTGCCCCCAGCAAGAAGCCACAGCTGCCCGCACACCCCAACCCTGTCTTCCTAGCCACGAGCTGATGGGATCAGACACGGACATCTGTCCTAAGCTCAGCCCATCAGGCTGTTCCCCAGACATCCCACCAGCACCAGGGACTGATTCTGGCAGCTGTGGCTGAAGTGCCAAAGGGAAGTTGGGGGTGCGATGCCTCAGAGCCATGCAGCGTCACAGCCAGAGAGAATGGCATGCCACAAGGAAAGGCAGAGGCAGGAGCAGCTGCCTCGGCGCCCTCCCCGTCCTCCGGGCCCCAGCGGCTCTGTTGGCCCCTTCATTTCAGGTACTTGCTTCTGTGGGGCGCAGGCCAGGCAGCAACCCCAGACCCCCACCATGCCTTCAAATGCGGGAGGTCTAGAGTGCAAAACAGGCATCGGCGCCCTCCCCGCCCTCCGGGTCCCAGCGGCTGTTGGCCCCTTCATTTCAGGTACTTGCTTCTGTGACTCACAGGTGTCAGGATGGGGCTCAGGGAGGGAGGAAGCTCCACGGCCTCCCCTCCGTCCCCCTACCAGGCCCATCTCTACATCCCTCTCCCCTCCCTGATGACTCACCCCCAAGTGGGGCCCCCCACTTACCGCATCCCCCTTATCGCCTTTGCTCCCCTTGTGGCCAGGGGTACCCACTTCTCCCTGCAGAGGAAACAAGATGAGGAAGCACCCCGACCCCTCAGCCCCCCACCCCCGCCTTCTCCAGCCCCTCCCTCTCCATGAACTCTCACCTTGTCCCCTTCCTCACCAGAAGGCCCGGCAGCTCCTGGGGGCCCTGGAAGCCCCAGGGGCCCTGGGGTCCCATCTTGGCCGGTGGGGCCAGGGGGACCACGTTCGCCCTGATGAGGGAGTAGAGGGAGGACGTCAGGGCTAGGGCAGGAGCGGGGTCCTGGTATGTGGAATGGGGTGGGCAGGGCACTTACCGGGGACCCCTTCTCGCCGGCAGGGCCAACAGGGCCTTGGCCTCCACTTTGGCCAGGAAGCCCAATGCCTCCTGCGGGGCCCACAGGCCCACGCTCTCCAGGGGAGCCCTGGAAACAGGGGTGAGGGGTCAGGAAAAATAAAAATAACAATTTCTCGTTTCTGGAGGTTTTTCATGCTGCCAAGCACTGAGGTTAAGCGACTACCAGCGCTTATCCAATCTGTTCCCCAAAAAGCAGGCAGAGGACGCTGTGAACACTTGAGTCAGGGCAAGTGCCTCCTCTAACCACAGCCCTCAGGGCTTCCTCCTCAGACAGAAAAAAAAGAGAAGTCCTCCTGGCAGCCCGCCAGGTCCTGCACAACCTGCCCCTGACCCCTCCCTGCCCTCACTTCCTCCTACTTTCACCCTGGCTCACTCCCCTCCAGCCACAGGGTCTCCATGCTGTTTCCTCCAATAAGCCGGGCTAGGTCCAGCCTCAGGGCCTTTGCACATGCTGCCCCTCCGCCCGGAATGCTTTTCTCTGCACCTCCACAGGGCTCCTTCCTTACCTCCTCAGTCTCGACTCAAATTCTCCTTCTCAGGAGGCTTCCCTGACCAGCCTGTCTCAACAACTACTCCCCTCCCCCACCCCCGCTCTCTGCTGCTTTGTCTTGGGACATCCGTCATTGCTCATTTCTCCTCTCCCCAACTAGAACGTAACCTCCAGGAAAAAGGAGGGTTTTGTTTTGCTTTTTGATATATATATATGATTGATTTCAGAGAGGAAGGGAGAGGGAGAGAGAGATAGAAACATCAATGATGAGAGAGAATCACCGATGGGCTGCCTCCTGCACGCCCCCCACTGGGGATCGAGCCTGCAACCCAGGTATATGCCCTTGACTGGAATCGGACCGAGGACGCTTCAGTCCGCAGGCCAACACTCTGCCCACTGAGCCAACCCAGCTAGGGCTAAAAAGGAGGTTTTACATGTTCTTGTCTGGCACACAGTGAGCATGTGTCAGGGCGGTCATCTGGTTGAGTTACGTGATAGCCTATGGGATGGGCTGTTGCAGATGAGGACACTGAGGCTCAGGGTGACATGACTGCTCGGCCAGTGAGTGACAGAGTTGGATGTGGCCCAGGCCTGTCTGACTCCAAACACAGTGAACTTCATCATGACAGCGCCCAGCTTCCCAGACACCCCAAGTTCCTCCCCCTGCTCCCTACCCAGCAGATGGGGTTGCACTTACATTGGCACCGGTGGGACCCGGGGGGCCCTTGTCACCCTTCAAACCAGTAGGTCCCTGAAGGAGGAGATGATTCACAGTCAAAAGACACCCCCCAGGTACCCCCCTAGGTCCTGTCTTCACTTTGGGGGGCTCGTAGTTCCCACCTCCTTCCAGGCACTGAGGTTTGGGGGAGGGCGCGGTCTCCTCCAGGTCCCTCCTGCTGTCATGCCTTTATTTTCACAGTCGTCCCCCCCCCACGATGCCACACCATGTCCCTGCCCTGAGCCCCCCACTTTCTTCTCTGCTTCAGGACCCAGCACACAAGAGGGCTCTGAAGGGTACTCACAGGGTCCCCTGGGGCTCCTTTGGGGCCAGGGAAGCCCCGCGGTCCAGGTGGTCCTTCCTTCCCAAGGGGACCCAGCGGCCCCAGGTCCCCCTGCAGGAGTACAGAGGAGGAAGGTCAGGCTCCGAGAGGGGTGTCGCCCCCAGGCTGTGAGCCTGCCCTCCCCTGTGGGGCTAGTTCTGAGCCCTCGATGGGGCCATTGAGGGGCCTCTGGGGTCCCTCTGCCAGGTCTCCCACAGGCAGGGTCTCACCTTGGCCCCCTCTCTGCCCTCCAGTCCCGGGAGACCTTGTTCACCAGGAGGGCCGGGAGGGCCGGGCGGGCCCCTCTCGCCCAGAGGCCCTGCTTCTCCTGTCTTTCCCTGGAAAGGAAGAAGGCGCATCTTGAACGGAGGTAGTCTGGGGTGGGGGGGTCTATCTGAGATCCACTCCCCCCCCCAAAATACCCCCCAACTGGTACAACACTGGGGGAACTTGTGGGAGGAAGAAGGCGCATCTTGAACGGAGGTGGTCTGGGGTGGGGGGTCTGTCTGAGATCCACTTCCCCCCAAAATATCCCCCAACTGGTACAACACTGGGGGAACTTGTGGGGTCCACTCTGACCTGAGGACCCACGACGCCGGCTGGACCAGGTGGGCCTGTTTGACCTTGAAAGCCCTGGAAAGAAACATTAAAAGGAGCCATCACATGGGGGTGGGGGCGGGGGAGAGAAATGGAAAGCCCAATGGGGTCAGAGGTCAAAGGGTCACTCACCAATTCTCCTCTCTGTCCGGGGTGCCCAGGTCGCCCGTCTTTCCCCTGGGGGCCCTGAAGGACAAGGCGGGAGAGAGTCGAGGCACAAATAAGGAGCCTACCCAGGCCCCAGCTCCCGCCCACCCTCACCGGGGTGAGCTCACTTACAGGGGGGCCCTTCGGCCCAGAGAATCCAGGGGGCCCTTGTAGGCCTGGGAGGCCCTGAAATGGAACAGAAGTCATTACTCACTCCCTTGCCTGGCTGTCCTCAGCTCCACATCATGACAAGAGCTAGCACACACTGAGCGCCTTCTGCACGCCGGGCACAGGGCCCGACACAGAGTCATTTCATTCACCGCTGCAGCCCTTGGGGTTAGGGACGTGGTTAGTCCCATCGTGCAGAGGGGGACACTGAGGCCCAGAGAGGTTCAGTGACCTGCCCAAGGTCACACAGAGGTAAGTGGCCAAGGTGGGACGGCTATTAACGCTGGCGCCAGGCCAGACCATCAGATATGGCCTGGTGACCCCCAACACCTGGGGGCCTTCCTGCAAAGCCCATGAAAAGGACCAGAAGCATAATCCATATTTGCGGGACAAAGACCCCAGAAAGATATAAAAGAGAAGCCCCCTGCCTGTTACTTTACCCAGATTTGGAAAGTTATTCCGAGTCCGCCAGCGTAAATAGACAGTGTCACTCCTTTTTTCTAGTGTCCCTTGGTTTTTCTCTGGTCTTCTGCAACATTATAATGTCTCCCTACCTCCTGGATTTGTCTCCTCCCCAGAAACACACACACACGCACACATACACACACTCACACACACATACACTCACACACACATACACACTCACACACACTCCCTCACACACTCACATACACACACACACATACACCCACTCACACACACACATACACTCACTGACACACACATACACACTCACACACACTCCCTCACACACTCACATACACACACACACATACACACACTCACTCACCCACACACACTCACACACACACTCACTCACCTTTTCTCCAGGGATTCCAGGGGCCCCGTCCTGGCCCACATCGCCCTAGGACAGAGCGAATGAGATTCAGGCCGCAGAACAAACTCAACTGGGAGGGACTGGGAGGGACTGGGGAGCCTGGGCAGAGGGTCTGCCTGGGGAGCCTGATCGCCCGCCCACCCCATACCTTTGGGCCTAGTGGCCCTGTGGAACCCGGTTGCCCCCTCTCTCCACGGGAGCCCTGAATAGAAAAGAAGCAAAGATTAGAAGTGAGAGGGGGGGCGGCCTAGGAGATGAGATCAAGTCCTCTGGGTCCCATCCCTCTTGTCCCACCAGGGACACCGACATAACCCAAATCCTCTTCCTTGCCCACTCTTGACCTCCCCAACTCCCCTCTCCTAGTCTCTCCTTCCAGCCCTGCCCCCCAAGACCCTGTGGGGTGGGGGAGGCTCTCCATTTCTTACAGGCAGTCCCCGCTCTCCTTCCAGTCCTGGCTGCCCGGCCTTCCCCTGGAAAATCAATCAGGTGAGGGGGAGCAGAAGGGAGTTGCGGTGCAAACACATGACACAAACACACAAAGGAACCAAATCACAGACCTAGAAAGATGTCTGCCACCATTTATTCACAAGCCTTTCATTCTCACACACACACACACACACACACACACAATCACGCAAGGATCACAGACATGTATGATTGCACCTATAGGATCCACACATATAAGCATGTTTGTCCACGCCGACATCTATTTATCATAGTTGCACCCGTGACTGCATGCCATCGTGACAAGCACTGGGTGATCGCAGCCTTGGGCGGACATGTGAAGCCCATCATGCAACATGTTCCTTGACCACGTGCACACTCAATGTAAACACATACATGCATGGGTTTATGTGAAGGCGTGGTCCTGGTAAGCACAGCACATACATGCACTCGTGTGCATATGCACAATGTCCATTTACTCAGCAGCAATGCACACAGAGCCGAGTAATACATGCATGTGTACACAGTCGCTCAGTGTACACAGAAACACACACACATGTATATCATATCCTTTCACACACGTATGCATGCCCCTCACACACATGTATGTCCACAATCACACACTGTGTGCAGGCTCATGCCCTGTTCACTCAGTCACAGGTCCACAGGCTGCAGCACCCAGGCCCCACCCCATCTAACCTGCACTAAGAGGCACATAGGACACACGTGCACACATGTATGCAGGGGCACCTGAGCCGCAATGCCAGGCGGGGTCACCTACATGTGTCCTGCATTGCACATGGGAGGAAGCCCTCAAGTGCTTCCAGGCATGCACACAGACACCCAGCACCCCCGCATCAGGCACAGCCCCGGATGCTGTCGCCCAGGTAAGCCCTTCCCTCCCTGCCCCTCACGACTCACCCGCCTCCCCTTCTCTCCTATTGGCCCCAGGGGACCAGGCAGGCCTGTGGATCCCTGAGTAGAGAGAATCAGAGAGAAGGGGTGGGGTGAGGAGAGTGGGTGGTGGGCTACACTGACCCCTCACCCCATTCAACCACCCCAACCCATCCTTTCAGGCCTTTCCAGGCCACTGATTCCAGAAGCTTCTTTGGTCCTCCAGCCCGTCTCCTCCAGAGCGGCCTTCTGCCCTCCTCTCCTCTTCTCTCTCTCTCTCTCTCTCTCTCTCTCTCTCTCTCTCTCCTTGCTCACTCCACTCCAGCCACACGGGCCTCTTCCGTGCTCCTCAGAGGACAAAAATACGCTCCTGCCCGAGGCCTTTGCATGGCCGCTCCCTTCGCCTCAGATGCTCTTCTCCCCCGTCCCCAGGGGCCGCTGCTCCTCATCACTTAGACATCACGCAGGCGTCTGGCTTCCTGCCACCTTCCTGACCACCACATCCTCTGAGTCACCCTCCGTCTACCGCACTGTCCTATTTTGTTTCCCCATCATATTCGTATTGAAACGACCTCATTCACTTGCTCCCTATTCAACATCTGTTTTCCCCACGAGGACACAGCGCCGTGGGGCTTCCTCGCCTGTTAACTAACCCGCTGCAGCCCTTCCTGCTCTGCCCTCCACCGGGGAAGACAGCACAGGCTCTGATGTCCCTCCTGCCTCTCACGGTGCTTGCGCTCCCAGACCCCCCACTGTGTGGCCCTGGGAAATGGCCTAACTCCCAGGAACCCGCTCCCTGTCTGTAGCCAGCCACATCCTCCTCACAGGGCTTTGGGAGGCTTCCGCAGGGCGCAGTGTAGACAGGGCAGCCCCCCTCAACATTCGCAACTGAAGCTCTGCTCCCCCCCCTCCCCCCCGTGACGGTATTCGGAGGTGAGGCCTTTGGGAGGTATGAAGTCATGTCAGTGGAGCCCTCAGGAATGGGATCGTTGCCCTTAAATAAGAGACTAGACCTCTCTCTCTCTCTCTCTCTCTCTCTCTCTCTCTCTCTCTCTCTCTCTCTCTCTCTCTCTCTCTCTCTCTCTCTCTCTCTCTCTTTCTCTCTCTCTCTCCCTTCCCCCCCTCCCAGGCGGGGGGAGGGTGCAGGAGACAGCTGACCAATAATTCTCTCTCATCATCGATGGTTCTCTCTCTCTCTCTTCCTCTCTGAAATCAATAAAAATTTATTTTTTAAAAATTGCTGTCAACTTAGGCAATGGCAGGATAACTGTGCCAAAAGCATGGAACTCTGGAAGGATCTACACTGAGAGTTCTTCCCAAGCGCCCTTAAGCTTCTGCTCCACTTTATACAAACGAGAACTATAAATCATTAATGATGTAACATGGGTGTAGCTGTGGCAGAAAGACGTGTCTAATCAGTAGCCTCATCCATCAAAACACTGGCAAGCAATGTACATTTTTACATAAGTGCATTTTATTGTAAGTTATAACTAATTCAAGATATGTAAGAGATGTCTTTTTTATGATTCTCCTCCTTGCTGACTTTGTTTAAACCAATTTCAATCACACCAAGTAAGAAGGATCCTATAAATTTTTTATCATAAATATTGTCATTATTATAATCAAATGGATGAAATAAATAGTACTGGCATCTCTGTTGTGTAACTGAAAAAAAAATGGGCTCAAGAAACTTGCCCAGAGAGCATTTGAGATCTTGCTTCCCAGCAATTGTCCTCAGTTTGGGCTCCAATAAATTCTTATAAAAAATCAGAGAGAGAGAGAGAGAGAGAGGGAGGGAGAGAGAGAGAGAGAGAGACTTGCCCAGGGTTACTTAGCAAGTAAGGGGTGACTTGCCCAAGATCACATAGAAGTTAATGAGTGGGTATTTGAGCCCAACTCTGTTACCAAAGCCAATACCTTATGCTGTTTATCAATGACCCAGGGGTGGAGTGCTCAACTCCGGGACCACAGCCCAGACCCCCAGATGTTAATCAGGCTCTGAACCCTGCCCTTGCCCACCTCAGCCCCCTGGCTTCTTACCTTAGGGCCTGGACGTCCTGGGTAACCTGGGAGGCCTGGCACCCCAAGTTTGCCCTACAGAGGAATTGTGGAACAAGGTTTAGAAATTGCAACCTGGAGGTCAGGGGGAGAGGGCAGGATGGCCGGGGCATATGGAAGGCACAGCAGGGTGAGATACCCCCGCCCCCCCCCGGCTTCCACTCTCTAAAAATCGATGCGGAAAATATCCTCAGGTGAGGATTAACCAAAAAACAAAGCCTGGGGCGTGCGGTGGCTACGGGACAAAAAGCAGGGCAGTGCATGGCATTGCTCTGTAACGCTGAGCGCTGAGCGGAGGAATCAAGGGAGACGGTAAGGAGGGTCGCAGCCTCCTGAGGTTGGAGAGAAAAGGGCAGAAGGATAGACTGGAGGGGTGACCAAGGTCCATTCACCTTCTCCCCAGCTGAGCCTGGGGGCCCCTCCTCACCGGGCAGCCCCTCCTGCCCTTTCAGCCCTTCAGGACCATCCTCTCCCCGGGGACCTGGGGGTCCTGGGTGCCCCTGGAATAGAAAGGAGAGGCCTTCAAATCTGTTCCTTGTCACTCTTACTCCATGAAGCCCCCCCGTCTTTGCCCCAACTCACCCCCTCCCTGTCTTTCCCCAAGTCCCCCAAACCCACCTAAAGGAGATCACCTTACCCGATCTCCTTTAAGCCCCCCATCACCCTTGAAGCCTGGGAAGCCATCCTCTCCCTGAATGGGAGAGAGTACAGAGGTCAGAGGTCACGGTTCAGGGGAGGTTCGCAGGCAGAGCCCCCGTATTAGGGCTCCCCCACAAGGAGTCCCCTCCCTTCTCACCTTCTCGCCTTTCTCCCCCTGGAGGCCCCGGTTGCCAGAGGTTCCCTGGAAAATAAAGAAGCTCTCAGGTCCTTCCCCTGCTTAATTAAGGAGGGCCCCAAACTCAGTCCCCTGCCCCCCCAAAGCAGGTTCCCCAAAGCCAAGAGGATGCTGGACTCGAGTGGGGTAGGGGCAGCCCACTAGTGTGTATGCGGGAAGCTGCTCCCTCCCGCCCTTTCTCACTGGCAGCCTCCCAAGGTCCTCTGTGTGGGGATGTGCAGGGAAGGCCAGATTTCCAAGTAATTCATTGCCATCTCCAGGGACACTGTGTCCACATTTCCTCCTGGCAGGAGAAGGAGGATGAACATTCCAGGCCCCAGCCTCACTCTGAAGGCGAAGGAATGCTCCCCATTGTACCGGCTTCAAATCTGTTCCTTGTCACTCTTACTCCATGAAGCCCCCCCGTCTTTGCCCCAACTCACCCCCTCCCTGTCTTTCCCCAAGTCCCCCAAACTCAAATCCGTTCCTTGTCACTCTTACTCCATGAAGCCCCCCATCTTTGCCCCAACTCACCCCCTCCCTGTCTTCCCCCCAAGTCCCCCAAACCCACCTAAAGGAGATCACCTTACCCGATCTCCTTTAAGCCCCCCATCACCCTTGAAGCCTGGGAAGCCATCCTCTCCCTGAATGGGAGAGAGTACAGAGGTCAGAGGTCACGGTTCAGGGGAGGTTCGCAGGCAGAGCCCCCGTATTAGGGCTCCCCCACAAGGAGTCCCCTCCCTTCTCACCTTCTCGCCTTTCTCCCCCTGGATGGAGGCCCCGCCAGTGGTTCCCTGGAAAATAAAGAAGCTCTCAGGTCCTTCCCCTGCTTAATTAAGGAGGGCCCCAAACTCAGTCCCCTGCCCCCCAAAGCAGGTTCCCCAAAGCCAAGAGGATGCTGGACTCGAGTGGGGTAGGGGCAGCCCACTAGTGTGTATGCGGGAAGCTGCTCCCTCCCGCCCTTTCTCACTGGCAGCCTCCCAAGGTCCTCTGTGTGGGGATGTGCAGGGAAGGCCAGATTTCCAAGTAATTCATTGCCATCTCCAGGGACACTGTGTCCACATTTCCTCCTGGCAGGAGAAGGAGGATGAACATTCCAGGCCCCAGCCTCACTCTGAAGGCGAAGGAATGCTCCCCATTGTACCGGCTACAATGTGACTCTGTGCCTGGCAACAAGGCACGTCTGTGCTTGGGGACGGCGAGATGGCTCAGTGCAAGCCCAGATGCCGCTCACACCAAACTCTGGGCTCCGGCCCCAGGGAAAGCTGCACTTGGCTACAGTGTAACTGAGCTCCGAGATACAACGAAATGACAGTAGGATACCATCTAATGCTGTGTTTTGACAAGAGCATGACGGTGTCTCCTTCCACAGAGAGACACAGGGTAACCGAGCACGGTGACTGCAGTGAAATTGCACTTGGGTGTGATCTCCTCTGTGCTTTGACAACAGCCTGGCCTTCTCCGGGTACAGAGCGACTCACGTGACCACAGTGTAACTGAGCTTGGCAACAACTGTTCTCAGGCCCTGGCGACAGTGGAACTGGGCTCAGCTGTCACAAAGGTTTCAACGACATATAACTACGCCTGGCTACGGTGTAACTGAGCGTGGCCACCCACAGGACTCGGTGGCCTGCTGCACGATAGCCTCCTTCCTGGTTAGAGTATAACCAGACCTGCCTACGATGCCAAATGTGAAGAGCTGCCTCTTGGCTACCACCCGACTCCGTTCTCAGACCACAGGTAAAGTGCACCTGTACTTGGCTACAGGGTTACTGGATTTGGCTACCACATAGATGTGAATTCCCATGCCCCTGTTCCTAGTCAATGGTGACCTCTGTTTAACCACAGTGCGGCTCTCCGCTTGCCCCCACATTGCTGCGCTTGTAGATGGCGTGACTCTGGGCTTGAGCCTTAAAACAACCCCTGCCTGACTGCAATGTGCTGACCTGGCCTTGGACGTGGCATATGTGCTCACCGTGAAATGGGTTCGGCCTCGAGTGGACTTAACTGTCCCAACCACAAGGCAACGATGACACTAGAATGCTGTCCTTTGGCTCCAAGGTAACACCCACGCTCCTGTATCTGGCCGCTCAGCCCTAAACCCCACTCTCCCACTACACCGTGCCTGGCAGACTGATTCCTCTCATCACACAGGCAGGTGTTTCTGAGGGAGCAGGTTCCCCAAAGCCGATGCTGACGAGTCACCTACCTTCACACCCCGAGGCCCAGGATACCCCCGCGGGCCTGCGGACCCTGCTGGGCCCTGCGGAGAAGATGAGATTAGTGCCTTCCTGTCCTCCCCCCTCCCCTGCTCTCAGGGCCCTCTTCTCTCTCCTCAGAAGCCCCCGACTCCTGGCCCTGACTTACCAACCCTTATCCCCAGCCCAGCCTCTCTGCAGATCACGTACCTGGGTCCCTTTCTCTCCTGTGGGCCCCTCGTGGCCTGGGTGACCCTGGGGGGAAAAAATCCTAAGTCGTCAGAGACCACATTGACCACCCAGATTCCCAAGCCTCCCTTTCTTCCTCCTCCTTCCGGCACCCAGCTCTCACCGGAGGGCCATCAGATCCCGTGAGGCCTGGAATTCCCGGGTGTCCGGGTGGACCCTGAAAGATAGTGAACAGGAGGAGACAGAGGGTCTCAGAGCTTGGGTTCCACCAGGAACATGCTGCCACATCAGGATTCCAGAATAAGCAGACCCCTCACAGGACATCTAACCCCAGCTCTGCCCCAGCCCCCTGGCCTCCCTGAGCCTCTGAAATCCTCTGCCTCTGGGCCGGGTGAGCAGGGCATGGGGGAACAGTGTGAGTGATGTTGAAGTGGGGGCTCCCCAGCCACACCCCTTTCTTTAGAAGCCCCTCCCACCCACAGCTTCATCTGAAGAGGGAAGGGCCTTGGCCGGCATGAGGGGACTCCCTCTGTCCCGCCAACGGAGGCAGGCCACTGGCCCAGCTGGGCCCGTCAGACTCTCTCCTGAAATTTACCGGAGAGCAACTGGGATCAGCTGGATTGGGGTCAAGAAACTACAAGGTCATAAGGAGCGTTGGTGACAAAGCAGCTCAAGATCACGTAGAAGTGAGAGTCGGGGTAAGGACACTGAAATGCGTGCCTGCCAGGCAAGAAGAAACGGGCAGGGAGAAAGCTGGCAGCACAGGGCCCAGAGAGGGCGTTCCTGACCCACGAATCTCGGTAATATTTTCTATGGCCGGCTTCTGAGGGTTCCCCTGTGCCCTGTCAGTACCCCCTTGTGTGAGCTAGCTTTGGTGGCTTTCAGTTTCCTGCCACCTACCCTTCCCCAACAATGGCACTGTGTCCCTCTGCCTCGTTTAGGAAATGTTGTGCTTTATCATTACCCAGAGCTAACAAAAGAGGTCCGTGGGAGCTTTTCCTGCAGAAACAAGGCCTGGGTGGGGGAGAGGGATACGGAGCTGTCACTCACCTTCTCCCCAGGAGTGCCAATGGGTCCCTGGGGGCCAGGGAGTCCCTGGGGACATAAAAAAAAAAGAAGGTAACGGAAGGCATGAGAAAGGGGTGGCGAGTGCTGCAGCTGGGGGGGGGGCCTCTGTGACCTGGGCTGGCCATCACCACCCACATTATGGGGAAAGGTAGCTCAAACCTGGGACCCGGGATTTCCCTGCTGTCCTGGGGGTCCTTGTTCTCCTGGAGGACCCTGGAGAGAAAGGGGGGGTTGGTGAAGCTGGAGGGGATCACGGCATTGAGGTGTCCATGAAGCTGACGTGGGGGGAGGGGCTCATGGGAGTAGACCAGGATATGGACGGTCAAGGGGTCGGAGGGTAGAACACCTACCACATTTCCTTTGGCACCTGGCGCACCGTCAATTCCCACTGCGCCCTGCGGGAGAGAAGTCGTAAGAGGGGAGACACGCAGGAGCCTGCGGCTGAGTCAGACCCTGCGCGGTGCCGTGGGGAGTGAGTGCACAGAGAAGAGCAGGCAGCGGGAGTGGACATGCGGGGGAAGGTGAGAGGGCAGCAGGGATGCGGATGCAGAGAGACAGTGGCGTTCTCACCGGGCTGCCCGGGGGCCCAGGCGAGCCTCTGGGGCCAATCAGTCCTCGGGGGCCCTGCAAGGAAGTAGGAGCATTATCCCCGCATCGCTGCTCTGAGGCCCCAAGATCCTGACTTCCGTCCCCTGCACCAGGCAAGGGGTCCAAGGGTCCCTGATACTCACCGGCTCCCCAGCCTGGCCAGTGGGCCCCGGAGGTCCCTCTGCTCCCTGTGGGAAAGCATCATCATTGGGGAAGGGGGAGGGAGGTTGGGGG